ACGGCCTGGCCCCCGCCAGTTCTTCCTGATCGTCTTTGGTCTGAAAAACGTAAGAGACAAGATACTCCTAAGAGGGGAGGAGGACGGGTCGTGGAGCACCCACGGGACACGCATCTCGAAGAATCATCGTTACTGCACAGGGTGAGTAACTTCTTTTTCTTCTTCGAGCAGTGTCCCGTGGGTGCTCCACTATAGGTGAATATGCAGCAGTAGCCCCTGAAAGGAGGGAGGTTCGGAGCTATCGTGCTGCAGCTGCGGACAGCACCGCTGTTGCCACTGCCCCCTCTGGAAGGTGAAGGTTAGGAATGGCATAGTGCTTGGCAATGGTGAAGTTTGACGACCATGTGGCAGCCCTGCAAATGTCTTTTAAAGGGACTCCCTTTAAGAACGCAGTTGATGTAGCAACTGCACGTGTTGAATGAGCTGTCGGATTCTGCAACAGCGGTCTACTATGTAGAGCATAGCATTCCTTTATGCAGTTCACAATGATTGACGAAATGCGTTGAGCTGACAACGGGTGACCCTTAGAGCGGTTGGCTGTAGACACGAATAGCGTGTTTATCTTTCTGATGGACCTAGTCCTGTCTATGTAGAAAGCCAGGGCACGTCTGGCATCCAGAGTGTGTAACCGAGTTTGCTCTGCCGAGACATGGGGCTTTGGATAGAAAGTGGGAAGTACTATTGGTTCATTGATGTGAAATTGTGAATTCACTTTCGGAAGGAAAGTGGGTTGAGGACGTAAAATGACTCCTTGATGGGTAAACACTGTGTATGGGGGTACAGCGGATAAGGCAGCTCTCTCACCAACCCGTCTTGCAGAAGTTATCGCAATGAGAAAGGTAACTTTCATTGTGAGAGTGCGCAAGTTGCATGTGGCTAAGGACTCAAAGGGTTTTTGTGTTAACGTGTTAAGAACTAGCTCTAGATCCCATGGTTGCGCTGGCCGTGTTTGGTGTGGAAAGAGATTATGTAAGCCTTTCATGAAGTGCCGCATCATCGGGTGGGAGAAAACTGAATAACCATCTACAGCGTGGTGTAATGCAGTGATTGCGGCAACGTGCACTTTAATAGAGGCGCAGCTGAGAGAAGAATTCTTGAGCTGCACGAGGTAGTCTAGGATACGGTGAATGGGCATGGAGTAGGGGTCCAGGGATGCCGACGAGCATCATGCTGAAAACCGTGCCCATTTGTAAAGGTAGGTGGATCTCGTAGATAATTTTCTGCTATGTAAGAGAATGTTCTTGACCTCCTGCGAGCAGATCATTTCTGTTTGTTGGAACCAACTAGGAACCACGCTGTCAGTGCCAGTAGGTCGATCTGGGGATGGAACAGACGTTGATTGTTCTGGACAAGAAGGTCGCGCCTCTTGGGCAGAGGGAATGGAGGACGCACTGACATTTGATGGAGGTAAGGAAACCACGTTTGTCTTGGCCAAAAGGGAGCTATCAGGATTACCGTGGCTTTGTCCATTAGTACATTCTCTAGTACTCTGGGGATTAGAGGTGTGGGTGGGAATGCATACAGCAGTTGATGGCTCCAATCGTATAGGAACGCGTCTCCCTTGGAGTTCCGACCCATTCCTGCCCTTGAACAGCATCGGGGGCATTTGGCGTTCATTCGGGTCGCAAATAGGTCCACTGTTGGGAATCCCCAGGAACAAAATATGGTTGAGAGGACTTCCAGTTGAAACTCCCATTCGTGCTTCAGGGAGAAGTGTCTGCTCAGTGCATCGGCCATAGAATTCTGCTGACCGGGTAAGTATTCTGCAATCAGGGAGATTTTGTGGTGGATGCACCAATCCCATAAGGCAATTGCCTCAGCGCAAAGTGACTGGGATTGGGCCCCGCCCTGCCTGTTTATATAATATACTGTGGTCATGTTGTCGGAAAGGATTCGGACAGTTTGAGTACAAATCTTTGGGAGAAAGTGACGACAGGCATTGCACACCGCTCGGAGCTCTAGGAGATTGATATGCATCATCGACTCCATAGGGGACCAAAGCCCTTGTACCTGATTGTGTTCCAGATGTGCGCCCCAGCCTAGTAACAATGCATCGGTGGTCAGTTGTGTTGTCGGCTGTTGGCGATGAAATGGAACACCCGATATCAGATTTTTGGGAACTGTCCACCAGGCTAAAGAATTTCTGATGTGTGCGGGAAATGGTACTCGTTTGTGGACGTCTCGAACGTTTGGAGTGTAAACAGTAGTTATCCAGTGCTGGAGACAACGGAAGTGCAGTCTTGCATGCTCGACGACGTATGTCATGGCTGCCATGTGTCCCATAAGCCAGAGACATTGTAGGACCGAGGGCTTGGGACTGGTGGTGATGGCCTGTATAAGAACTTAGATTGCTTGAAATCTGGTTATTGGTAAGAGAGCACGAGCAGTGGTTGAGTCGAGTTGTGCTCCTATGAATTGTATCGATTGGTGTGGCGTCATGGCCGACTTTGGGATGTTGATGATCAGGCCCAAGGTTTTGAAAACTGTTTTTGTGAGGTGTGTCACACGTAAAGCCTCTGCCACTGAAGGCGCCCTGATTAGGCAGTCGTCTAGGTAGGGGAATATTATTACGCCGAGACGTCGTAGGTACGCCATTACTACTGCCAGCGTTTTGGAGAAAACCCTGGGAGCCGACGAGAGACCAAAGGGCAGGACCCTGTATTGGAAATGGCCTGTGCCTAATTGAAAGCGTAGAAAGCGTCTGTGAGCCGGGTGTATTGTTACATGGAAATAGGCGTCCTGTAAATCGAG